ATTCGACTCTCCCATCGACTCTTACGACTCGCCTTTGGTTACTATCTTACCCTATCAAAATCCTTTTTGTAATCGATGAAAGCTACATAAATATTTTTACGTTGGTCGCGCCATTTTTAGAGAAGTATATTTAAACCACAAAATGCTTCAGGGGTACCCAATGCATTCCTAAATCCAAACTGAGTTTCATCTAGATATTTTTCGCAATGACTTCTTATTTTTTCATGAATAATGTAAAGACAAATTTTCAGTATGTGGTTCATCAGACTAATTAATTCGTTGCATCGTTTTGCCTGCTGCTTCTTTGGATTGCTATAAAAACAGCCTTAAAACATTCCTCCGGTAGTTAGATAGTAGGTACATGTCATTAAAAGCTTAACTAGAACACTGATGTGGTCCTCTTGTATCATTTTTAAGAGTTTCACTGGGTTGTTGTCTAGCCCAATTGATTTTTTGGTTTTGGCTGATTTTATTGCATGAAGAACTTCAGATGTTAAAATTTTAGCTCGTTTTTGATATTCATTGCTCTGTATATTTGGTATGTTATCTTGGAACAATTCGGTTATAGTTACTCCATGTTTCAAATATTTCTCGTTAATGAATAATAACTTCCTGCATTATGTATTAGAGTATTAGTGTTTTTCTTACTATACAGACCAATCACTTCACGAACTTTCTTGTGCATATTGAACATGTCATGTTTCGTTTCTAGTTCTTCTATTTCTGAACATCGATCCGCCATCTATTTTTCTTTAGCGGCTCGTATTTTTTGTTTTATTTCTTTGTTTTGTTCTGCATTCGTCTGCCTTGTCCTTGAATTGCCTTTTTTGTAGCATAAGGCCTAGTACCCATTTCTTCCTTCATCTATCGAATCTATTAGTTACACTATGTTCTTCTATTATCTTGGTCATATGTTCACGATAATATCCATGTTTTCTCAACATTTTCGGTTGTTGTCAATTCCTGCATGTAACTATTTACATCATTTTCGTTTTTATTTATGTTGATATCTGAAATAATAAAATTCGTTTGCTGATGTTTTTCTCAATTCGTTTTAACCTGACTTCTGCATCGGCAAATAAAAGTTTGTAGTCAGATTCATTATCTGATTTGATATGCAGGTACGGGCTAGCAAATATGATTAAATGTAGAAGTGTTAGAATTGTGATATTATTTCTTGAGTAGTTATATCAGCGGCGGATCCAATGGGACGTTCCCTCTTAAACCAAGTGAATTATTTTTTTAATTATATATGTTTATAAAAATATTCAGTTTTTTTTCAAATGAATAATTATACATTTTTTAAAATTACAATGTATAGATTATATAAATATATTTTATTAGTATTAAGACACCAGTGTTTTATTAATATTTTAACCACAATAAAAAGAGCCAAAAATGAATAACTCGGTCACATCATAAGGAACAGCAAAAGATATGAGTTACTGCAATTAATTTTACAGAGTAAGGTAGAAGGAAAACGAGGGCCAGGAAGGCGAACGATTTCTGGCTGAAAAATATATGTACGTGGTTCAACACAAACAGGGGTGTAAAGCTAGTTCGCGTCCGTAGTAGAACACTACACGTGCACCCTGGGTAACGCTAAATGAACTAACACAAAAGGCGCCAGACAAACTTGAATCTCCTGGCAATTCAATCATTACAGAAAATCTTTCCAGAAATGACACTTGTAAACGGACCTTATCAGGGCCATTTGACCAAAGAACTCGGACCAAGCATACGAGTCTGCCATTTTAACATAGAAGGCATAAGCAGGGCAAAATGTCAAATCCTGCACAGACTTTTAAAAGACAACGAAGTTGACCTAGTAGCACTTCAGGAAACGCACACAGAAAACGAAGGTCAACTAAGCTCAAGAGGAAAAATCCCCGGCTATGATCTTTTGGGCGCTACCTACGATAGAGCTTACGGAGTGGCAACATATGTCCATTCAAACATAGAAAATGCAGCATTAATCGCCACTTTTACCGAGAACAACATCCACGAGGTAACTGTGAAAATAGGCAATGTCATAATAGCTAACATATACAAACCTCCTGCTATTACCTGGCCTGTCCAAGTTCTTAATTCCTATGAACATCCAGCCATATACGTAGGTGTTTTCAATAGCCACCATGAGATGTGGAAATACTCAGACACTGACAGAAATGGCACATCCCTTGTAGAATGGGCAGAGGAACATGGTGCCCACCTTCTATTTGACGCCAAAGATAGAGGCACTTTCAGATCTGCGGCCTGGAGGAGAGAATATAACCCTGATCTCTGTTTTGTTACCATTGACAACAAAGGCCAACCGCTAGCAGCATCACGAAGGGTTATGTCTGACTTTCCACATAGTCAACATCGCCCCGTCCTAATCAAGATCGGTATCAGCATTCCGATTATAAGGTCGTTCCCACACCCCAGATGGAACTTTAAGAAAGCTAACTGGCCTGCTTTCACCAGTAACCTTGACAAATGCCTAGGATGGATTCCACCAAAGAGCCAGAACTACGGGAGACTAACAGGAGCAATAATCGCCTCAGCAAAAGCGACAATCCCTAGAGGATACCGCAAAGAATATATCCCTGGTTGGACAGAACAGAGCGAAAAACTGTATGAAGAATATTGCGAAGATGGAAAGCAGGAGATTGCAGACGAACTACTCCACAGCATTGATGCTGCCAGGCGTAAAAAATGGATACAGACAGTAGAAAAACTAGACTTCCAGAAGTCAAGTCGACAAGCTTGGTCCCTACTGCGGAAACTCGGAAGTAGCAACCCGGGATGGAGAAAAATATAATATAAAGAAAAATAGGAAAATGAAAATAGGAAAAGCGCCGGGTTTCGACGCCATTCACGCTGAGTTCCTCAAACATAGCGGCAGATTCACTAGGCAATGGGTCGCAGAATTCTTTTCTGACATCCTTCAAACAGGAAACGTCCCCCACCAACTCAAAAATACAATAATCGTCGCCATTTTAAAACCAGGGAAAAGTAATAATTCACCGAAAAACTACCGCCCCATCGCACTCTCAAGTATGGTGTACAAATTGTTCGAAAGACTGTTGTATAATAGAATCAGCAAAACCATATTCCAACACTTACCAGTGGAACAGGCAGGATTTCGGCCAAACCGCAGCTGCACAGACCAGGTACTCGCCCTGACCAATTATGTGGAATCAAACTTTCAAAAGCAATCAAAAACAACCGCTGTCTTCATCGATCTACCTGCTGCTTATGACACTGTGTGGCGACAAGGGGCAATATATAAATTAATGCGAATAATCCCATGCAGAAAGACCACTGAGGTTATTAACGCCATACTATCCAACAGATGCTTTAAAGTTATATTGGGAGACAAGACTAGTACCCAAAGAAAACTGAATAATGGACTTCCACAAGGATCCGTGCTGGCTCCCATGCTTTTCAGCCTCTACATAGCAGACATGCCAGAAACCACATCAAAAAATTTTGGATACACAGACGACTGGACGCTTGCCGCAAGTCATAAAGAATTCGAGGTCACTGAACGCATTCTAACAAACGATTTAAATGCCCTAGGGAATTATTTCCGCAAATGGAGATTGCAACCCAATCCAACTAAGACAGAAGTGTCCTGCTTCCATTTATACAACAAGATGGCCAACTATCAACCTCAAATCAATTTTGGGGATAGACTCCTTAAATATAATAAACACCCAAAATACTTAGGTGTTACACTTGACAGAACGCTGAACTTTAAAGAGCATCTTACTAAGACTGCTGCAAAACTCCGAACTCGTAACAACATCCTGCAAAAGCTCTGCGGCACTACATGAGGCTCCTCAGCACCCACACTTAGATCGACAGCATTAGGACTGGTATACCCCGTAGCGGAATACTGTGCACCAGTATGGATAAACAGTCCACATACTCACAGTGTTGATGTCCAACTCAACCAAGCCATTGGAATAATATTTTTATATTTACTGTTGTTTGTAATTTATATAATTTATATTTATATATTTATATTTATATGAACCTGTGATGTAGCCATACGCTAAATAAATAAACACAAACACAACACCATAAATCTTTTTAGAGCAGCAATGTGCCAAATACAGATTACCAACATCCGAAAAGGGTAGGCACTACAAGAAAAAAAGTATGGAGCCATTCCTGGTAGGTCGGTAGCCTAAAACGGACCTATATAGATGGCCGATATAGAGAGTATCAATCAGCCGTCACTCTTAACAATGTATAGGTAGGTAGGTTTGTGGTATATACTGTATACTGGCATTTCTAAAATAATTTATAAATATAACCAGTTGCTATCTGTATTTTTTTTAAGTTTTATGATATTTAAACTTGATAAGTACAGCTGCAATGCCAAGACGACCACAGTCGTACTAGAGGAAGGCCACAGAAAATGTTGGCTAGATGACATTAGACTAAAAGTGGGTAGAAACTGGCACCAAACAGGAAAGAATGGAGAACTCATGGGGAGGCATTTGTCCAGAAGTGGATACAAATAGGCTGAAGTAGAAGAAGAAGAATCCAATGTTGGCGGTTTCTTAGGTCAATATATCAACATAGTTGTTATTTTTAAGTCCGATATGAACTTATCCAAAACGAAATAAATATTTTTGATTGCATTTTGCAATTCTAACATACGAATCTTGATTGGCGATAAAAACGATAATTGGAGGAGTAACGGATACTTAGGGGAAATCAAACAAGTTAAAACGGAGTCTGATAAATCAGTGGTAGATATTCTTGCGTACATCAGATCTTGAGAGAATGTAATAACTTTAGTACTAACCATTGCTAATGACTAATTGAAGTTTTAAGTAACAATAGTAATTCACACGGCGATTGCAAATTTATGGAAAGAGGACTACATTGTCTCTATACCTTTTCTTTTTTTTTTGTACTAAGAATTCATAGTCTGTTTCTTTTTTATTAATAATAACTATCGTTTACTTTATCTGTTTCTATTTATATTAGGAACACTTTACTCACTGCTTATCATTTGTTTCAAATTGAGCCTGCCAATCCCACGTAGCTTGAGACGTTTCTAGGTTATAATACATCGATGTACAGATGGGCATACAGTCACACTTATCTTTTGCAATTTTTCCTTGTTTTAGTGAGTGTAACTTTTTCTCTATATTTGAAAGTAGAAGTTCGCCTGAAAAGTAAGGAATTTTATAATACATTCAAAATATATAAAAGGTTTTATGAGAATCAAGAACAAGTTCTTTAAGACATAAGAAGAGGATAGAAAAGAAGAAAAATAGATTTATACAAATCATTAAAAAAATAGTTAGCAACTAAAATAAAACAGACCGTGTGATTATAGGAGATGATCTAAATGCTTCTTCTTCTTCGGGTGCTATATGCAAAGCTGCAAGTCGGCAATCAATTATTCAATTCTTTTCTATGGCCATAACACCCCTTTCTGTATGTCTAAATATAGTAACTGCGTTTGATATTCCACACCAGTCCCTTATATTTCCAGCCAGAAATGTTATATTTTACCAGGTCCACGTTTTCCCTAAATTTTTTTCTTGTTGCATTAGTATTGGTATCGAATTATCGAATATCGGGGTTCCTTCAGCACATGTTCCAGGTAAGAACTTTACGATGTTTACCATTTAACAACTGTCTTTCTACGCCACTCCTTTGCAGTATGATAGCTCATTGTGTGGATGGTGGCTGTATAACTATGTGGGTAGTGGGGGTGTCCCATCACAAACGCGGACGAGATCACAAATTTAGTGGTCTGTGGACAAGATAATGTCCAATATAAAAACTCAAGAAGATTAAACTAATAAAAATGGAAACTGGGTAGAAAAAATAAAACATTTAATAAAAATGGGTTTATGAACTAAAATTCCACTTTTAATTCAGAAAAGAAATACATACAAATTCTTCTACTTCGAATACTTTAAAGCGATAACTGATATAACAATCGGAATAACATGCGAACCTACATGCGAATAATTTTATAATTAATTGTAAGTAGGAAAAAGTTAATCTACGGGGGCTAAATAAGATGGTACACAAAGAATAAAAATGAGAATAGAACTGAAATAAATGACAAATTAAATTGAAGAATAATGTGTTATGAAAAAATTTAACAAATGTTTCGATCGTATTCAAAGTTTTTACTTTAAGTGACCAAGTTTCCATAAATACAATAGGCTATACATAACATTAATAAGAATTCTGGTACTAAATGATAAATAGTCACAGAGAAAAAGAATGGCCAAGTGGTGAAGATAAGTAACTTGTGACGCATTTAGTTATATTTTCATTGACTCACAGGCGTTTTGTGCTGTTGTTTACTAATTATCCTTAATTTTATTTTGGTAGTATTAATAGTAATTCCGAATGTACACTGGATTCGTTAATTTTGTTCAAAATTACTTAAAGGTGTTCAATGTTATTGTTGCGTAACATTAATATATAATACGTTTATTTTATTTTTGTATCATATCAATATATCACACTGTATATTAGTTTCTTCTCTTCTTCCTATGCCGTCCCCATTAACGGAGGTTGGCGACCACATTTTTAAAAGCTTCTCTGTCTTTTGCAACGTGGAATAATTCGTCTACAGTCATGTTTGTCCAGTCTCGAATATTTCGCATATATTAGTTTAGATTTATAAAATTCTTTTGTACTATCTAATAATCTGTACGGCGTCGATAGCTTGCATTAAAATAACTTTCTAGACATAAGAGAAAATTACGAGCCTAGGAATTGAAGGAAGTGATCAGTATGAGTTCAAAATCCAGCATTGGATGAGCGCTAGGCTCTACTCGCACCAGCCGCACTTCAGAAGCTTTAACACAGTCGGGATATTAATAAGGTTACTCCGTTCGTCTCAATATTGTATCACCGAAAAGTTATCTAGTTTTATAGTTTCATAAAGTTTAGTTTCATAAATCAGCTATCGGCGTCCAAAATACGTTGTAATTGTTTAAATAGACTCGTTAAACCGTTCTTTTCGAATCTTTTATTTGTCCCAGTTTTCTGGGTGGTCCTTCAAAGAAGTATACAAAGTGAAGCTATTTCCCTAAGGACAAAACTTGTTCCCCAAGGGAAAAAACCAGCGACCTATGACTGGTGCACGAAACAAAGGCATCAGGACAAGGTGTAAGGACAAACACACCTGCATCTTCGCTCATGTTCCTTCGAACCGGTTATCTTCACATTTCAACTTCGAATCAGAGATCTTCGCATCTTCAGGTTCTTCCAGTAGGACGCTTCCAGACTCCTTCATCCTGGTAGCTGATTTAACGTTTAGCATCACACTCACAACAAACTGTAAGTTTTTTAATTTTAGTAACATTTGTGAAGTGCATACTATAAACTCTGTTTGAACATTTTCGATTTTTAGTGGGAATTCTCATATTTTCGCTATCTCTCTGTGTTTATTACTATTCTTCTGTTTTTTTTAATTTAAAGATCAAATTATTTCACATATTTCTCGCTCATCAAATTTTTATCTAATTCACTCAGCTAATCATGAATAAAACGGTTGATGATCTTGTTAAACTATATAACTATGTACTATAATATGTGGCGACTTTAATGCAAAAGTTGGCAACACTACACAAAATGACGACTTAAAGAATGTACTGGGAAAGTTTGGCATAGGGCAGAGAAACGAAAGAGGAGACCGTTTAATCGAATTTGCTATCACAAACAACTACTCCATCATGAATACTCGATTTAAACACCATGTACGTCGACTTTATACCTGGAAAAGTCCTGGAGATAGATTTAAAAATCAAATAGATTACGTCCTCACCAATATTCGCTGGAGATCGTCCATTCAAACAGTCAGATCATATCCAGGGGCGATATGCGGATCCGATCATACTCTCCTCGTAGCTAAAGTAATGCTTAAACTTAAAGCACCCAACAAACAAAGAGAGATAAAGAGGATAGAACTAAGAAAGAAAGAAGACCTTCTACAGGAAGTACAGAAAAGTATGCCCTCTATTCGTAACGGAACATCACAAGAAATATGTTAGACTGTTAAACATTGCGTAACAACACCAGTGGATCGCTCAAAGAAAAATAATCCGGTGAAACGGAAACACTGGATAACAGATAAAACTCTTAAAATAATTGAGAATAGAAGAAATCTTTGTAAAAGTGGTGTACATAGTGAAAGGGAAAAAGCTAGTTTAAGAAACCTCAATAAAGAAATAAAACGAAGATGTAAGGCCGACAAAAAACAGTACTATCAAAGTATATGCAAAGAAATTGAGAGACATGGTCAGAATAATCAACCGAGAGATCTATTTAGAAAAATACGCTACCTGACAAGAGACTTCAGAGCCAGAACTTGGGCCATTGAAGATAACACTGGAACCCTGAGAACAAATAGAGAAGACATAGCAGAGACATGGAGATCGTATTGCAGGGACCTATATAAAGATGATCAACGCCAAGAGCTTGTTAGCCAAATCTCTGACGAGGTCCAGATATGATAACAGCAGAAATGCTTAAAGCCACAGAAGAAATCGGCGTAAAGTTACTTCATCTACTCTGTAACCAAATATGGCATTCCAAACAATGGCCTGAAGACTGGACAAAATCTACAATAACGACCATACATAAAAAAGGCAGCTTCCATAAATGCGACAATTATAGAACTATCTCTCTTATATCCCATGCCAGCAAGATAATGCTACATATAATTAATGAGAGACTGAAAACATTCCTTCAAAGAGAAATTTCACAAGAGCAAACTGGATTTACCAAAGGTAGAGGCACTCGAGAACACCTGCTGAATATAAGACAGATAATCGAGAAATCTAGGGAATTTAACATCCCACTATACATCTGTTTTATAGATTACCGTAAAGCGTTCGACAGTGGGGTAAAGGGTCAAGTGAAGACACTAATGGCGAATACTAAAAGAAGTAGGCGTACCACAACATGTAGTTACGCTTAAACATGAAAAGACTCATAATACAAGGAAAGGTAGAAGGCCGAAGATCACGAGGAAGATCCCCAACAAGATGGATAGATCAAATTACAGAAATATTCCAAAGACCTATGCATGAATTAAAAGAAATGACCAGAGACAGAGATCTCTGGAGACGGACAATACACGACATCACGTCGACCACTACACTTCCTCTGGGGGGTCAGGATTGAAGAGAGAGATCTTGTTAAAGTAAAAGATGACCTTGTTAAGGCAAGAGGTCGAAGTAAAGCTTCGATGACTACATTAGAGAATTTGTTTAAAGACAATGAAAAAATTAATATTTCAAAAAATGAATTAAGTACTAGAAAAGACTATTTATCAAAAGTTTTTGACAAATATCTCGATTTTCAAAATGAGTTAGAAACAATAGATGATGCATTTGCTGTTGACATTGCAGATGTAGAAGATATATGTTTTACCTTAGAATCAGCTCTAAGGGATACAATTCACAAGTGTCAAATAACTGTCAAAGTGTGGATACGTATTTTTAAATACTCTCTACATTTTAAAGTTTATTTCATTGAATTTAAAGCAATACTGAGTAATTTAAAATTAATTTTATTCGGCTAGTTTTTTAAATTGTAGTGTTTAATAAAAATATACTCGCATAGTGCTCAAAAATGTGTTAGCGTCCCCTATGGGGACTGGAATTGACTCAAGGACGCTTTTAAGTGCCTCTAACAATATTGTTAGGTCATCTGAAGTAATGGAGCCTGAAGAAAACGTGGTACCGTTAAAAAATAGAGGATTTAACGTAAATTCAGATAAGTATAATCTTGAAAATATTTTTGTGTATATTGAAAGGATAGATAACACCGATCTTGGTCGCTTACATCCAATTACAATAGGTCATATTTTGTACAAAAAATTAGGAATTTCCAATATAATTCAAGTAAGGGCAATTGGTAGAAACAGAATTAAGGTAGTAGTAGCTTCTATACATGATGCAAATAATCTTATAAATAATAGTAAACTAAAGGAAGAAAATTTAAAAGCCTTTATTCCCGGTCACTTATTAGAAAGCAAGGGTTTAATTCGGGATATTGATACTCAATTTGATACTGTATATTTACAGGAAAATATTGAATCTCCTTCACGTATATTAAATATTAAACGTATGAATAGAAAAGTTGAAAAAAATGGTACAATTGAGTATGTTGCAAAACGAACTGTTATTG